TACCATTCTTATATGGGATCTATTATTATTAGTGTAGTTTAAAATGTTTTTAAATGTTTATGAATATGTCCTTTAGCTTTACTTGAAGGTTATTCTGGGAACTATTTTATGAGAGATCATATGAGTCATACAACTCCCTTTTCAGAAAAACAAAAATATGCAAAGGATTATCTTCTAAGTGGATAGAGGAGAGGCTTTCTCAGGAATTTGAAGTGAAGTTCTTGGTATTGCTGGAGAACTTTACCTGATTCTATTTAGTAAGATTTTATTAAGTAGTCAGATTGGTAACTGACTCCACAACCTATTAGAGGTGGCTCTTGAGAGCCAGAGCTTTCCAGAAGCCCTGGAGAGCCATGGCTGGGTGGTTCAGTTGGTTGGAGCATTGCCCTGTACACCAAAAAGGTTACAGGTTTGATACCCAGTCAGGGTGTGTACAGGAGGCAACTGATCAATGTTTCTCTCTTTCTCTCTCTCTCAAAATCAATAAGCAATTTTTTTTAAAGAAGACCTTGAGAATGAAAGACATATTGAAGTACACCAATAAGTGAGATTCTTTCTTACTCAAGTATAGTCAACTCAAATTTATGATATAGTATTATATCCAAGGTGCTTAATAAGTAAGCATTCTCTTATACAACATGGACATATTATTATATAATCAAATGCAGATGCTCTTCTGAACATCTTCCTAAGGTTAGTGAGAAGCTAAAGATTTGGGATTTTCTAACGAAAGTTTGTAAGAGATATTATTATAAGCTATACAACTGAAAGGACTCTCCACAGCAGTATGGCTCAGAGTTCCTTATTTCCTTATCTTTTCCCTCAATAGTCTTGATTTGCAGAGCCTGTCACTGAAACAAATTTTAGAATAACTCTTTCAAAGTACTAATTTTCAAATGAATTTTGAAAAATAAGTTAATTTTGAATCAGAATTTTTTATATAAGCAACCAAGCATTTAAAGATAAGATAGTACTGAAGAAGAAAACAGGCTTTAGAGTCAAATCTGGGCTGGAATTCTGGCTGTTAACTTTGGACATATCTATAACTTCTCTGAGACTCACCTTTTTCATATATAAAAGAGGTTGATAGACTTATTGTAAGGTATAAAATAAACCCTTTAAAACACTTAGCACACTGATTGATACGTAGGGATAATATTGCTTTATTAGCTTTTTTTAAAGAATCAAAAGGCACATTCTATAATGTTTATAAGGCAACATACCCCTCCAAATTGATGAGTTGGGAGGAAATGTACATAAGTTCTGGAAGATCACAAATGCATCAAATTTTCCATAGTCATTTATATCTTATTTCCTTATCTATTCTAGTAGTTCATAGGGTCCACAATATATGCAAAAAGCCACGCACTAAATTCTTTCATGCCTTAAATTTTTAAAGCAACCCTTAAGGCATAATTTATAAATGACAAAATACACTCTTATTTTAAATGGATGTTTGATGAATCTTCACACAATAATCAAAATTCCCTGAGCCCCATCCCAATTAATCCCTTGGTAACCACTGTTTCAATTTTTGTCACCACAGATATTTTGTTTTTCCAGAGTTTCATACCACTGGATTCATATATTACGTACACTTTTTAATCTGGGTTCCTTCTCTCAGCATAATGATTTTGAGATTCATTCATGTTGTTGAATGTATTACTAGTGCAATTTTTTTTCATGCTGAAGGTATCTTTTTTTTTAATTGAATTTTTTGAGGTGAGGTGACCACACAGGTTTCAAGTATACAACTCAATAAAACATCATCTGCACACTGCATTGTGCTCTCTTCACCCTAAGCAAAGTCTCTTTCCAACCACTTCCCCCTCCTTTGCCCACTTCCACCTACTGCCTACGCCCCTTCCCCTCTGGCTATCACCACACTGTTGTCTGTGTCTATGTGTTTCGTACACACACACACGTTTATATATCTATGTGTTTTATTTATATATATATATATATATATATATATATATATATATATATATATTTTTTGGTAATCCCTTTACTTTCTTTCATCCAGTTGCCCAACTCCCCTCTCCTCTGACAGCTGTCAGTGTGTTCCATATAACCATGACTCCTATTTTGTTCATCAGTTTATTTTGTTCATTAGATTCCACATTTAGGAAAGATCATATGGTATTTGTCTTTCTCTGACTGGTTTATTTCACTTAGCATAATCATCTCCAGGTTCTTCCATGCTATTGCAAAAGGTAAGAGTTCCATCTTTTTTATGGCCACTTAGTATTCCATTGTGTAAATGTGCCACAGCCTTTTAGTTGTCTTTAACTTCATTAGAAACAATTTTGTTAGATTGTATTGTGACAGCTGTCACACCAGTAAGCATATTATGCTTTATTATTTCAAAAAAGGCAAAAACACAACAACTGAAACGCAAAAAAAGATTTGTGCAATGTATGGAGAAGGTGCTGTGACTTATAGGATGTGTCAGAAATGGTTTGTGAAGTTTTGTGCTGGACATTTCTTGTTGGACGATACTCCGCAGTTGGGCAGAGCAGTTGAAGTTGACAGTGATCAAATCGAGACATTAATTGAGAACAATCAACATTATACCACATGGGAAATAGCTGACATATGCAAAATATCCAAATCAATCAAGTTATTCGTGCAAATGAAAAATCTCTCTTATTTTACAGGAAAAAAAAAAACCCGGACTTTTTGGCCAACCCAGTATTTCCAGGATTTTTCCCCCCTCTCAGCTTCATATTGGATATTTTTAATCGTTACGTGCTTCACTGTCACTGATCTTTTCTTCAGTAGTGTTTAATCTGCTGTTAATTCTATTTGTACTGTTTTCCACTTTAGATACAGTTTTCATCTCTGGAAGTTCCATTTTTCTATTTTTTATTTTTTTATCCTCACCCAAGGACATTTTTTTTTTCATTACTTTTAGAGACAGAGGAAGGGAAGGAGAGAACCATCAATGTGAGAAAGAAGCATCAGTTGGCGGCCTCCTGTAGGCACCTGAGCAGGGATCCTATGTGCTCAGGCCAGGGATTGAATTCTCAACCTAGGTATGTGCCCTGACTGGGAATCAAACCTGCAACTTTTTGGTTCCAAGATGACGCTTCAGCAAACTGAGCCACACTGGCCAGGGCCATTTGTTTATTTTTATAACTTCTTTTTCTCTTCATGTTATGCTTTTGTTTTCCTTCTCCCTGATGAATGTAAGGATCATATTTATAATATTTTAAAATCCTCATTTGTTAATGCCATCCTCTCATCACTTATAGGTCTCTTTCAACTGACTGATTTTTATTCTGGTTCTTTTCCTGTTTCTTCATATTTCTAGTAATTTTTGATTGGAGGTTAGAAATTGTTAATTTCATATTGTTGAATGCTGGATCTTGTACAGTTAAGTTACTTTCAAGTCTTTAAAAAAGTCTATTAGGACAGATCTAGAGAATCCATTGTCTGAGTGCCAATTTGGTACCACTTCTAAGGTATGGTTCTTCTAGGAATCTCTACTGAATGTTCATGTATTCAGTGATGTCTCTCCCTTCTGGCTAGAGAGAAGTCAAATGATTTCTGGCCCTGTATGAGCACCGAGAATTATTCACTTTACAGCTCCTAGTAATTGTTTTCCTTGGAAATTGTTCTGGATTGGTATTATGGTTTAGAATTCACCCAAAACCTCGGGCTGTGAGCTAAGGCAATGTAGGGTTAATCAAATTTGTTTCTCTTCTCTCAGAGATCACAGTCCTGTGCTGTAGTCCAATGTCTAAAAATAGTTTCACACATTTTGTCTGGTTTTCTAGTTGTTGACAGTAGGATGGCAATTCCTGTGGCAGTTAATTCTTTGTGAGTACATGATTTGAATTTTTACATAAAAACAAAAAAGAAGCCAAGTCAAAAATCTTCATTGCTTTATTCCTTCCAAAAGGGAGTCTAAGTTTCTAAGGAAGAAGAGGCGAGAAATAACAATATGAACTTAATACCCAGCATGTATAAACTAAAGTTTTCAGTATCTAAAGATACTTGAAATGTTTTCAGTTTCTTTCTCATTTCTAAAAGAATCCTTAGCAATTGGTGTTTGTTTTCTTAAAGTCAGAGTCACTAACATGAATATTCCTATCTCTTCTGCAGGCAGTAATGATGAGCTCATAAAATTAAGCGATTAACTTGTTCACCTGGTATTTCCCCCTCAATTATTTCCTTTTCACATGTGGAAAAAAAAAACTATTCAACCACAGATTTCAAAAAACAGAGCTTAATTTAAATAAAAGATAGGCTTTTTAATTTGATGTAGTCCCATTTGTTTATTCTTTCCTTTATATCCTTGGCCCTAGGGAACGTACTGGTGAAAATACTGCTGTGCAAGATATCTGAAATAATCTGAAATTTCCCTGCCTATGTTCTCCTCTAGGACTTTTATGGTGTCATGACTTATATTTACATCTTTTATCCATCTTGGGTTTATTTTGGTGCATGGTGTAATTTGGTGGCCTAGTTTCATTTTTTTGCAGCACTTGGCTATTGTAAATAATGCTGTTAAGAATATTGGGGTGCATAGGTTCTTTTGAATTGATGAATCAGGATTCTTAGGGTATAATCCCAGCAGTGGAATCACTGAATCAAAAGGCATTTCCATTTTTAGTTTTTTGAGGAAATTCCATACTGTTTTCCACAGTGACTGCACCAGTCTGCTTTCCCACCAACAGTGGACTAGCGTTCCCTTTTCTCCACAACCTCACCAGCACTTGCTGTTTGTTGATTTGTTTATGATGGCCATACTGACCAGTGTGAAGTGGTATCTCACTGCGGTTTTAATTTGCATCTCTCTGATGGCTAGTGATATTGAACATGCTTTAATATGTCTCTGGGCCTTCTGTATATCCTCCTTGGAGAAGTGTCTGTTGAGGTCAAGGAACATGTATAAATGACCAATGTGCATGGACAACGGGGTGAGGATTGATTGTGGGAGCAGGGGAGGGGGGTAGGCAGGATGGGGACAGCAGTGGAAGAAAAATTGGGACAACTGTAATTGACCAACAATAAAAAAAGTCTGGCCTCTTGCATGTCAGCCACCAACATGCCCTCCAGACTGAGGAAGACCCTGAAACTTCAGGGCCACATGAGCCATGGCCACAGCCACATTAGCAAGCACAGGGAGCACTCAGGAGGCCAAGGTAATGCTGGTGGCTGGCATTATCACAGGATCAACTTCAACAAACATCACCCAGGTTACTTTGGGAAAGTTGGTATGAGGCATCACCACTTAAAGAGGAAGCAGAGCTTCTGCCCCACTGTCAACCTTAATAAACTGTGGACCTTGGTCAGTGAGCAGACACAGGTAAATGCTGCCAAAAACAAGAATGGAGCCACTCCCATCATTGATGTGGTACGATCAGGCTACTACAAAGTTCTGGCAAAGGGAAAGCTCCCAAAGCAGCCTGTCCTTGTGAAGGCCAAATTCTTCTGCAGAAGAGCTGAGGAGAAGGTTAAGAGTGTTGGTGGGGCCTGTGTGCTGGTAGCTTGAAGCCACACAGATGGGATTTCATTAAATGTGCACAAGTGCCAAAAAAAGAAAAACAAAACAAAAAACAAAGAAGTTTGTACAATGCCTAAAGGTAAATTACTAAAAATACATTATTTTAAAATTACCAGTGAAATTTTAGATTATCCCAAAGAAAATAAAATATTATAGTCTCTTGGGGAAATAGGAATTTATGACACTTAAACACATAAAGTATGAAAAATTTCACTAAAACACCAGTTTCACAGGTAGTGCTAAGGGGTTACTGTTTTAAAATAACTGAGCCAAAATCAACAGAGAAAATTAAAGTCTTTCTCATCCACTTTAACTTTTTCCTTGAAGACTATGAAACTTTTCAATGGGATGAAATGTGAAAGCTTTGAGAGACTGTATGGAATAGCACATTTTGGAACTGATAAATCTTTATTACAATAATGCTTTTGAAATAAATCCCCAGGTCTCCTTCTTTTACACACACTAGATTGCAATATAAATGTTAGTGTTCTTGGTTTGCAACCAAAAAAGGAATAATTACCTAAGTCTTTCCAGTTTTACAATACTTAAAATAACTGTTGGTTGTAGTGAAGTCACAGTGGGCATTTACAAGTTAATGACATTTGTCAGCTACTATTCCCTGGAGACAGATATTCTTTTTAATTGTAAATTTCATGAAGTGACTTGGGTTGGGTTTTTAAAAGTCTTTTGTTTTGGTTTCCATTTCAATAAAATAAGAAATAATTTATGTTTTTACAGCAGTGCTTCAAAGAAATTTAGAAATATGGGTCATCCAATATCAGTACTGAGAGAACATGACAACTGATTTAGGCATAAAAATAAAAAGACAAGGAACTTTTCTTTTTGTGCGAGGTAAACACATTTGGATTTGAAGAAGGAATTTTTAAAAACTGTATTTACAGCATCAGGTATAAAAAATGTCATTAACATACAAATGCTTGTTATTTAGCTGTTAAAAATGTTTATAAAAATTCATAGTAGGACATTTCATTGCTGTTCAAAATAATGGGTAAAATCTCTAAAATATATCATCTTATGAGCTTGACTGTATATGTCGTAAGGACTTATTATGAAAGGGAACTGGTACAATAAGGAAGCACATGTGGAATGTTTTCTCCAACTCTACTTAGCTGAACTTCATATAATGGATGATTCCAGTGGTTTCTGTCTTCCCATTGTCTGTTTCTTTCTTCCCTTTTTTTTGTAATATTCTACATCAGAAATGTGAAATATAATCATAGAATTTTAGTATTGGAAGGGCCAGGGAAATCTTACAGGTTAATGCTCCTCTTTCGCAGCTAAGTATAGTAAAGTGAAGAAAGGTCATATGATGGTGCTAAGGTCATACAGTTCAACTCAATGCAAAATGGCTTTTCATCTCATCTTTTGACTTAAAACAATTGTTTTTTCCTCAGGTCAAATAAGACATTTAATGGATACTAAATTAAGTAGTAATTTAAGCCCTTAACTTGTTTTAAGCAGCATCTAATGATGTTAACCACTCCTTCACTTTATAAAAAGCATTCCCTTTTCCACACTCTCCTGGTTATTTTTTCCTTTCTGTTTACACCTTCTAATTTTCCTTCATAGGCTTTTCTTTCTGTATTCATCCCTTAAGTTTCTAAGTTCTTTGTCATAGACCTCTGTGCTTCTCAGTCCACACACTCTCTAGGAAGTGGGTCACACAGCAGGAGGTGAGCAGTGGGTAAGCCAGCAAAGCTTCATCTGTATTTATGGCTGCTCCCCTAATCGCTCATTTTACTGCCTGAGCTCTGCCTCCAGTCAGATCAGTGGCAACATTAGATTCTCACTAAAGCGTGAACCCTACTGTGAACTGTGCATGTGAAGGATCTAGGTTGCGTGCTCCTTATGAGAACCTAATGCCTGATGATCTGAGGTGGAGCTGAGGAGATGATACTAGTGCTGGCGAGCGGCTGCAAATACAGATTATCATTAGCAGAGATGTTTGACTGCACAGAGACCAAAATAAATTAATTGATTGCAGACTCGTATCAAAATCCTATCAGTGAGTGGCAAGTGACAATTAAGGTGCATCTGGTGGCAGGCTTTATAGTGGCGAATTCATATACTTCATTTGTACAGCTACATCAGTGGCAAGCTTTAAATAAGAATCCGACACTTACTTTAGTCTGCGTGTGACCCACCCATTATTTTATTTCCCACTTCCATCTGTGCCTCTTTCCTGTGCTGCGCACTTGTCTCAGTCACAATTTTGGTAAGCTTACATGCAAAACCCTAGCATGTGGTGAGTTGTATAATTATTTCATTATATATTACAATGTAATAATAATAGATATAAAGTGCACAATAAAAGTAATGTGCTTGAATCATCCTGAAACTGTATCCCCTACCCTAGTCGGTGAAAAAACTGTCTTCCATGAAACCAGTTCTTAGTGCCCAAAACGTTGAGGACTGCTGCTATAGGAAATCTTATATCCTTCCAAAGTGTAAGCTACCATCTAAATGCTGATGCCCCCAACCTATATTCAATTGTCTGTTGGACAACTAGGTTTCTCACAGGCATACCCCAAAACTCAAAAATCCTAAAGTTAAATTACTCTCCCTCAAATCACCCATTTCTGACAGTTTTCATCTCAGTCAATAACACCATCATTACATAACTACTGCCCAATCCAGAAAATTGTCTGGTATCCTTCTGTACTCTGCGGATGAAAAAGGGGCCACATACTAAACCTGACAACCTCAGGGGAGACCTGCATGGTGTCCTTAAACACTCAAGGACCAAAAGCAACCACATAGGATGGTCTGAATATAAAAATCCCTAGTAATTAAAAGTGAATCACAGTGGGTAGACACATCCTGACCTGTAGCTTCCCTGACATGGGTAAAATCTACCTTAAGTGAGCCTGTCTACTGTCTTTTTGCATCTAAGATAACGTATTTTTGAAATGTTAGAGTAACCTTTTCCAGGCCCTTTAAGGCATAACTGCCTGAACCAGAGCAGGAGACTACAGAACCCCTCACTGATATCTTGTTGCCCAAATACTATCTCTATTGCTCTGTGTTTACTGAGGCAGGTTAGTAAGAAGCTAGGAAAATTCCCTGGCAAAGTGGAATGGGGAAAATGAGACAGATAGTTAAATGGTCGAGCAATTAGCCAAGCAATAAATCACAAGATCTTATCTTCTTCCCTAACCAAAGACACCTACAGCATGTAGTTTACATCTCTCTTCCCCAATCAAAGAGCTGGCAGCTTAAACCACCCTTCTCAGGGAGATAGAAAACAGAGACGCAGTTAGTGCCATTAGAGCCAGAAAAACCCAAGAAGGAATGAAGTTGGTAATAAATAACAAAAAACACAATTGCAGCCAGACTAATCCAAGATAGAGGTGAAGCTGACTAGAGAATGATCTCAACCCCCGACTATATCACTCATTTTAATACATCAGCATAGTAAAGGCCACACCTGGAAGGCTGATGAATATTCTGATTGAGACTGCCCCCAAAATTCCCACCTGCAGAAAACAGAAGAAAAACCCTCAAAACAGAATGCCATTGTGTGCTCTATCTTGATCATACCTGTGCCCCTCCCTTTTCCCCAGGTGTGTATTTTTGCTTTATTTCTCCTGAGCTCTAAGGTTACAACTTACAACCAGGGAAAGAGTGGGCAGTGGCAACTTGCCCCAGGTTAACCCCCTGATCCTATCTCCAAGGGCCCTCCTTTTGCCTCTGTGACTTTTCAGCAAGTCAAGCAACCCTGCTGTGGCTCAGTTCTTTTGCCCCTGTGATCTTCTGAGTTGAAGCAGCTCTGTCTGGCTCAGTCCCGTTGCTGTGATCTTGCTTCTTCTACCCTAAGTCCTTGCTTCTTCTACCCTAAGTCCTTCTTTTGTCTCACTGTCCCAAGCTTTAAATGTACTGTCAAAATCACCTGAACCTGTGTCTTGACATCTTTGCTGCATGAGGTCAAGGATTCACATATCCCAGATCATGCTGGGACAGACTTGCCTCAGCCTGGTCCCCATCTGGGGACATTAACGATGCTGTAACCACCAATGTAAAAGATATATGTGTTTCTCTATTTTGCTTTTTATCCAATCCCAGGTTTCCCTGCTTTGCATTCTCCTGTTTCCTTAATCTACCGCGAATAGATTTCACATAACCTCCATGTGTCTCCTTTTATTCTAATGGATAAAGTAAGCTGCAAAACTGCTATTCTCTCCAATTTTCTAAACCTTTCGAGATTTTGCTTCCTGGCAAATTGTCACCCTGGCAAAAGCATGGGTCAAATAAACTCCTAAAAATTCTCTACAGGTTTGAATGTTTCTTACATCACCGACTCTTAAGCCAGAACGTTACATTCATCATATTTAATCAGTCAGCTCATCCTTTCATTCTAATTTCTAAAATCTCTAACCCCTCCAATTTGCTGTAGTAGGTTCTACTACCACCATCTTATACCAGGCCACTTACTTCATTCCAGCCTTGCTCCTTAGCCATACTGAATCAGGTAATCTTTCTTTCTCCAACCACCAAACCCCACCCCAATCCTGAATATGGTATTTTGTGTTTATCATTCCTATCCATGACACACACACACAGAGGCAGACACACAGACACAGATTCACATACACATACCCTCAAATATATTAATACGATATGTAGTAGGTACTGTGGTAGCCAGCCTCTAAAGGAGTACTATATGACCCTTGCCTCTAGGTATTCACATCCTTGTGTGGTTCCATCCCACAACAAATCAGGTTGAAAAATCACTTTGAAAGTGAAGAGATTTAAAACTGTGGATGAGACTCAGGAAAATATGACAAGGCAGCTGATGGCGAATAGGAGAAGTGTGTGACATCCCAAGGTGCCTACTTTAAGGGGACTGAGGTATCACTGTCCTATGTACAATGTTTCTTGTATCTTATATCTTCTTCAATAAATGTCTCTATTTTTCATATTACATGACTGGATACCTTCTGGACAGACCTTGTATATACAACATAATT